GTTGAGCTAGCCTTCAGAGGCTTCCTTATGACCAAATAATAATTCCATTACATCTCTACAATTAGACCCAATAAAACCGAAATTCTATACCATACCAACTTAACTTTTCCTTATTTAGCAAACTAGAGCAAATGGTTCTATTCCTAAGTTTTACAAAAAAGTTTCGGACAAACGGGGCCATCAAATTCATATCATTATTCCATCATCAGCAGAAAAGCAATAAAAGTAAAAAACAGTAGGTGTTCAGAATTCTTCGTGGCTTCAAAATGTGTACTAGTGTATAGTTTTAACAGAACAAAATACAACAAGAAGTAGATACTGGTGTGAAAGCCAATTCTTACATGCAGAATAACGATTTATTAATATTTTGAGGTCAAATTCAACTTTTGTAACAGATTTCTAACGTTTAAAGCATAAAGGATATTTACAGCACGCCTCTGCGGCTTTCACGGGTGGCCCAGAACTGTCTCATTATGTAAAATACGGGTAATTACTGCAAAAAGAGCAGGTTTTTTTCAATATATATTTCAATCATGCCTTATTTCGCAGACTTCAAATTTAGCTTGTTTTTAATAGAATGTAACTTTTTTTTATTTATTAGGCTTCCCATATTCTGGATTTTACGAACAGGTATTGAATGTTTTAATTCTGGTGAGAAATCACATAGACCCAGCGATAGTAATATTTGAAATAGATATGGAAAAGAAAACGTATCTTTGAAATTTTTAGAAAAGACAGGTTTGTGAAGAATTTTTTGCTCTAAAGTGTACCAAATTTTAGCGATGGCAATTTTTAGGTATCGAGGGTTACGAGCCGGATGGAATGTAAAACTAAAAAAAACCCAACTATTTTTACAGTAATTCCATGTGGGCCATTCAATGGCAAATAGCACACTTTAGAACACTGACCTCTCAGACTTTTTTCATTTTTTACTGATTTGTAGAACCTAGGCCAGCATAAAGAAAACCGCAAAGAAAACCTGAAAAAGCGAATTCCCCGCCAATTCACACCTCCCCTTCAAAGTCGCAAAATTTGCCAGGTTGCCGCATGACATGCCTGTCTTTGGAGGCTTGTAATTTGGCCCGTTCTTAACGAAATTTTAAAGATTTTTGACCGGCATATTTCTTCTATCCTTTTGAAAAAATGTCAAATAATTTAATTTTGGTAAAAATACACAAAGATACAGTAAAAACAAGATTTCAAACAAACATAGAAAAAAAAAACGTGTCTTTAATTTTTTTAAAAAAGATAAATTTTGTGCAAAATTTTATTCTCTACAACCTGTTAAAGTTTGGATATGGCGATTTTTTGATATCGAGAGTTACAAGCCAGGAGAGAATTTGAAACTGAAAAAAAACTTACTATTTTTACAGTAATCCCATGTATTTTACAGTGACAAAATCATTTGGAGCCGTTTCTGAAGACCGCAGCTGGCAGCTACAAATATCCCTATGCTTTAAACGTTGAAAATTCGCTATCAAAGTTGCACTTTACTCTAATAATGTTAACAAATTATTATTCTGCAGAATTATAATTATAGTCTTCACTCCAGCCCTTTCTAGTTTTTGTATGTTGCGATTCCTCAGCTCTTAAAATTGTCTCTGTCTTGTACTCGTCAAAGTTTTCGTCAAGTCGGCTTGTTCTTCTTTGCAATTATGTGTTGCAGTTCTTTAAAAACACAGAAAGTTTAGGGAAGAACCTTAATCTAACAGTTACCCAGATAAAGCAGTGAGTTCTTGAACTCCTTTGCGAAGCCAAAATGTATACTAGCTACACAGTTTCGACAAAATAAAACACGAGAACTAAAAAGAGCTGGAGTAAAAACTGCTTCCTATGACTCTGCAGAATAATTATTTCTTAATATTATTAAAGTAAAGTACAACTTTGGTAGCGAATTTTTAACGTTTAAAGCATACGGGATATTTGTAGCTTCAGTTGCGGCCTTTAGAAGCGGCTCCGGTCGATTTGCCACTGTAAAATACATGGGATTACTGTAAAAATAGTGGGGGTTTTTTTTTTCATTTTTACATTCCTTTCTGGCTCGTGACTCTCGATACCAAAAGCTGCCATCGCCAAATTTTGAAGTTTTACAGAGCAAACAATTCTACACGAAATATGCCTTTTCTAAAAAATTTAACGC